GGGGGGGGTGTGTCTGTGTGTCACTTACTTGACTCTCACCTTGTATAACTAAGCAAAAACATACCCAATCTCAGATCCCACGTGCCAGAATTTCTGAGGACAGCAGGAAGAAGTGCTATACAACAAATCACAGAAGGGCAAATTACTGACAACTGATTTTGGAAGGGAGTGGAACAAGCTAACGTGATGTCGGACACTAAAGGAAAGAGAAAGCTAATCCTAAATCACCCTGATGATGGCTGAGTTGTAACAACTTAATCATTGTAACTTTGAACTTAATTCCAAAAACCAAACATTTCAGAGAAATTAGCTTTTGTCTCACGTTTGCTGAGAGGCTTTGCTATCAGTACAGATTAGAATAGCACAAGGGAGTTGCAGGGTTGAATTTTCCTATTCCTCCTAAGAGAAATTTTTGTTGCTATCTTTGGCTAACCAGTTTTTAACTAAAATAACGAAAAAGATCCGCCTTCTGCTGAGACCTGATTTTGTCAAAAATCTGAAACATCTGAAAACAAAACAGAATTCTGTTTGGAAATAGCACTGGTGTCTCCAGAAGTGTCAGAAAAAAGGGACATTCACACAAGGTACAAGAGACTCCCCTAGAGTACATCTTCCAGGAGGCACCATCGCTCAGGAACAGACGACGCTTCAGCAAGGGGATGTACTCGGCCTCAGACGTCCAGCCCGAAGAGCAGAGGGAGGGCAGGAGTGACCAGAGCATCCCACTACGCCTCCACCACCTCCCGGCCTTCCTGCTAGCTCTAGAAATCTCTGCTCTGTACACAGCCTGCCACCACTCCCTTTGGAGGAAGGGATTCACAACAGCGGTCTTTTCTGAGTGTGCTTCTTTCAGAATGAAGAAAATATCCCACTGATTATTTTGAATATAAATAGTTGTACTGTTTTTTTTGGCATTTACGAAGAAACTCTGATCGTTGTTTTTTTAAAATGCCCAGCACACATTCTTCCTCAAAGATGAAACTGCTGCACGTGTCCTACTAACATTTGACACCCATTGATCTCATACAGATGGCCAAAACTATAACTCATGCTACTTCAGACATTTCAGTCACTAGAAGTAGGTGATACTCGTCTTGTTGGGTTTCAACCAAAACAAGAACCTCTGTATACAATTTTGCATGAGCTTAACTTTGTGGCTTTTTTTTCTTTTTTTCAGAAACAGGTGTTATTTAGACTCATACTTTCCTTTCCCTGTAAGCATTTGTAACAGGAAAACTACATTTCCTTTCAGAGGCCTGAGCAAAACAGGACAATGCCAGAGCATCTCCCAGCTTAGGCGTATGTTTCTTCATAATCTGTGTATACCACCTACTTTGCGCCTTACAGTAACATACCAGTCCTGACCTACCGCTGGTACTTGGGAACCACCACACATATGTGAAGCGGCAAAACACGATCAAACTGCGCGTCAGCAAAACCACGTGGAGTTTTACAGGTGCAAAGCCCTGTTCAACAAACCCTCTGAGTCATCCAGCTTGGCCTTCCTACTGTAGATTCCCCTCCCATCCTTCTCAAAGTTAAGAGAAAGTTATGTTTTTCTGTACCTTTTGTATACATAATACTCTATAAAAATAGGTAATTTTCCAATAAAGTACTTCTTTTTAGAATCTTTGACTGACCATTTGCTAGACGGCTATTTATATTACAAACAGTATATAGCAAATCAATAATAAATCTGCAGAACAAAATGTCTTTTCATAAAAAGGCCAGACAACTAAAAATGTACTGCATTTTTTTTCCCCAATAAAAACGCATTTCCAAACAAGTCTGAATCATCTGCTTACTTTATAATGAGATCTTGAATAGAAATCATTAATGATCTATAGTTTCTTTCAGGGTTATTCTAAACTTTGAAAGCAAACCTAAACCCGTCAATTTTTCCAGGCTGGGGTATGTCTGGAGCACTCCGTTTCATGTCTTCTATCCCGCCTCCAGCTTCCACTAAAACAGATCAATCTTTCACTTTTGTGAAGGGTTGTGTGGCAGTTAATGGCACCACAGAGAAGCGATGGCCTCTTGGATATTTGCACCCAAAAGAACAAGACACTTCTTGTTGCTCGTTTCTAAAGCAGAACGCTCTTCAAAACTGCGTCAGGAGAACAAGGACCACCTCTATCCCAGCACAGCTTCCCAGGACACTGCCAAACTCCTCCTCCCATTTAATCCAGTACTATTTCCACTTCTGCACCATCCAACCATTGTAGTAAATAATTCACAAATCACTGCTCCAGGACAAGAGCGTTCTGCATCCCTATCCTAACACCATTTCCCTGCTACCACCATCATATCATGCCTCAGGACGCGCCTGTGCCTATTTCCTCCCACTAGTGCTGTGCTCTACATGGAGATGATAGCACAGTAGAAATCGCTAAAAGAACTGACAATTAAAATAAGATACTATAAAACAGTAAGGGACAAACCAGCGCAGAAATGTATCAGAGACAGAACAAGCTTAAATGAATCTCTGCAGTCAGATTATTCAAGGTGGCCTTCTCAAGAGAAGTATCAGGAAAACCTCCCTTAATTACAACAGTAAAAGCAATTATTTTCCTCATCGTCACCTGCATTACGCTTAGATTCGCGTGCTGAGTTCCTCAGCGCGCACAGCAGCACGGTGTGCCACAGGATGAGATGGAAGGGTGTTACAGAGAGCCTGAAACTCTGACTCTCACCCCCTCGACTCCTTCTAACGGACCTTTCTTTAGAAATTTAAGAACCTGCAGTTCAGCACCGAGTTCTGTTCCTCAAGGTCTGCGATGCTCTGACCTACCTGTAGGACAGCTATACATTTCAGGAGGCTGTAGAACACATACATACACAGCGCTTTCGACTACAGTGTACGATTTGCTGTTCCAGTTTACTATAGGCACTTAGCCGCTGGACATGATGATTAGATAAAAGTGCTATGCTAGCAGGTAAGCTAGGCAGAAAACCTGTGTCCTGACTTCCAGTTCTCAGAGAAGCATTTACACACATCGTACTCGTGCTACAACAAAACCCAGTGATGACTCAGATACTTAGGTCACGTTTGTAGTTCAAATTAAACAGTGAGAAACTTCCACATTGCCATATGTAATCATTAGATTGTGTAGTTTACTTAACACTTGCGTTACCTGGCAGAACTTTGATGCCTTTTTTTTTTTAACGTGGTATCACTTAAGTTGAAAATAAATTTAATGGAAATTCCTTCCACAAACCCCAAGAAATCCAACCTGCTTAAATTTTTGTCCTGCAGCCCTTGTTTGCCTCAACATTTACAACTAGAAGGGATTCAGTAACCCCTGACTAGGGAGCTGGCAACCTCCATTGCACAGGTAGTTCTTGGCCTGAAGACCCAAAATGGCAAGGTGTAATAATAAATACTTCAGTTTACAGAATTTCAGCATATGCCTTCGATTTTCCATTATTCCTACACCGTGACCTCAAGGAAAGAGAATGACACTAACATGATGTGCATTTACAACCACCGACTCCTCTCATGGCAAGATGGCATTGCAGAAACTGAAGTAGGTTTGCAGAGGCTTTATTGGATTCCGATAGGAATAGCACACTCTCCTACTCTGGCACTCATTAAAAACCAGAAAGGCTTGTCCGGGTCCCCTTCCCTCCCTGTGAAAGCACACACTTACCATGCGACAGTGCAACCCCAGCAGCCGTGAGTGTCGCAGCGAGAGCTTCAGTGTGACCAAGCAGGTACCAGCACAGTCCACAACAAGAGCATCGTTTGTGCAGTACGGCCCCTTTGGTCGCTGCTGATCAGACACCCCACAGACTGCCCGCTTGGGCACTCTCGAATTTCGATTTCAACTTGCCAAAGAGACAGGAGCGGGGTGTTTCATACTACCTGGAGTGGGTTGTGCGGGAGGAGGCAGCCTGCTGAGATGATCAGGTGAAAGATTACAGGAACTAACTATTTACTTACGGAGTCTCTGTTCCCAGGAGCATCTCCACCTTCTCTCCTGCATGGTTACTGAGGACCGCTAGCCTGAAGAGGTGAGCGGCAGCACTCTGCCGCGAGTAGAGCATGGTTGAGGTGTTCTTTACAGGAGAGGAAGTCAGGTCCTCGCTGTCACACTGTTGTACCACCAGCTGGTCCCTTAAAGAGTAATCTGTGACACTGTAACTCTCTTCACTGCAAAACAAAGGAGGGAAGAAAAAACCCACAAGTTAATGTTCAGATTTTCCATTAAGAACATCTGGAAGCAAACTCCGTCATAGAATCCACTTTTCACTACACAGTATGGCACAATTCTTCTGACACCTCAGGTGAACTTTTCTGTTTGTTTTTCCAAGATATAAAGTAGATCGGTTTTTAAACCCCATGGAATTTCATTTAGTGGCACAGTTAAATGATTTTGGCGTTCTTGAGATGGTTTAAGCTCAACTTACTCCACTCAATTTGAGAACAGACACAGGAACTGTATAGAATTGTGTTTTTTCTTCTCTAGTTTCAGATGAACAACAGACCTTAACTGCAGAATGTTATAGGAAAAAAAATAAAATTTCCTTTTTCCTGTGCCTGTAAAACTATGGGTATGTATATTGCTTCCAGATAAATACCACTGATTTTCATTTTAAATACAGGATAATCAGCTATACTCCTCACCCATTTGCACTGCAGAAAGTCTAGTCTAAAAAACTATTTCACAATATTCTGAAACATAACCTTAGTCAACTCAAATTTTAAACTGAATTTTAAAAATGGGCAAAGGCTTGTCACATCCTATTGGTTTTGCGAAATGCACTGTGCAAACTCCCTTTTAGAAAGTACTTTGTAAATAAATACACCAACACTAAGCGATATGAATGAAGATGGCTACACATGCTGAGTAACTTCCCAAAAGCGACTAGAAAGAAGCCTACGAAATAAAGCACGTTAGAAGCTTTGCTTTCCTTATGGTTGAAATACAGGTAGAGCAGTGGACAAAACTTATCTTGGCTGACGCAGTACCACATTTGACGCAGAAAACAGAAGCCCTCAGAACTACTTCTCATGTTAAAGTCATTGACGGTTGAATTATGCCAAAATGATGTTACGGTAGTTTTCCCAGAGAGGTGAAAACTTGCAGACATCAGACACCAGGAATCACAACATAAAAGCGTCACTGATTTTTAACAACAGAAGGACTTCAATGAAAAGGTGCACTCCTCCCTGAACAGCAGCCTTTTATTTCTAAAGGCAGAATCACTGCAGCTAATCCAGCCCTTCCTGACAGGCGAAGATGGGGCAAAGGCAGGCAGCAGCGTGTCTGGCCGAGGCACACTTACACACCACAGAGCTGGACGGGAGCAGGAACCGGTTGCTTCAACCCCCCTGCTCTTCCACCCGAGGTATCTGCAACGTGTGCTTTGACTTCCAAATATCCCGACGTCTTCAGCAGCATCCTTCAGCACCTTGAACTGAGTTCAGCCAGTTCTCATACCTAGTGGTTTCGCTACTTACTCATGTCAAGGCACTCCTGGAAACATCTTTTTTCAAGTGGCAAGTAACTGCATTTCCAAATTTTTTAAGTCGTGAAACATAAAGAAACAGTTAAAAGAACCTACATCACTTAAGAAATAGCCATTGATGACCAGAGACAAGACACCAGCTGAAAAGGCCTTTTTGTTTCCACTGAAGCTTGTGAGTGTATTTCCAAGAACTGTTTTACATGTGTTTGCAAGTTTACCAGGACATATCATCAACCCAGGACGGTGACAAACCGATTACCTCACAACTTCATGTAAGCTTATAAACTTTTTTCAGGTTGTTGTCCTACACTGGTGCAACAAGAAAAGATAGGAAAAACCTGCTTATGTAGGCATACAGCCAGTCCTCCCTCCTAGCCCGTACATCGCTGCGCTTGTCAAGTTTTGCAGTAAATCAAATACATCACATTTTAAGGTGCAACTATACATACTCCACCCTAAAGTAAAATCTATTTAGACTTCAGTGTCAAGTGATGAAAAGCTATGCTAGAGCCTCATATTTCTATGGCTCATTAAAATACTTTAAATTGAAAAAATACTTGAGAAGATTAATTTTGCTGCCAGAGATATACAGACACCTAAGCGCTGAACTGATACAAATCAAATCCCAAACACCTGGACCTGAAGCCATCCGAAATGCTGATGGTGACAAACCCCTTCTGGCAGGTGCAAATGAAGCGAATTCTTCCTTTATGGCTGCTCAACGTTTATAAGAAAATGGACAGACGCTGCTTTAGTATCTGCTGGGATATATTGTACTCATTTTGTGAAACGTCAGAAAAATACCTGCACATACCTCAGTAGTTAAGATAATGGTCTTCATAATTCTTATTTTTAATCCTTCAGAAAAAGAATTGTTGAAACACAACTAAGCAACATTATGACTCCAAACAGAAGGTATTGCTGATTTCAGTGACTGCAGCATCAGAAGAATTTCTCTATTCTTCAAGTGTCAACAGGTTTAAGGCTCATACTACGTTTGTGGATTTTTGTGGATTAACAGTTTCTGCCAGTGCATCCACTGTAAAAACAAAGTTCTTATTTCAACTGTGTGGAGTACTTTTTTACTTTTGTGCTGTGAATTAAATACTTGAAATGCGTTTTTCTTTCAGTACAGCTTTGTACATTCTCAAACAATCGACATAGTTCCATTAGTATCGTGTTCTAATCCTTTTTGCAAGTATTTTTTTTCTTCCCCTCTTTGGTTGAGGGGTTTGGGGGCTTTACAAAGGAAGCAGGAGCAAAGACAGACAAGCTTAGTTAGATTTAGCCTGTAGAAGGACTGAAATGACTGTAGCTCATAAGAAGATGAACACTTTCCTTCCCTGTTTCTTTTCCTCCAAACATCAAAAAGGCACCAGCAGTTCACCCCGTCTCCTGGTGTTTCCACTCCAAGGGCTGGAATCACAACTCCCCGTACAGGTACCACTGACAAAGGCACAAATATCCCAAAACTTCCAAGAGCACTGCTGCAAGAACCTGAAACACCTTTAAAAACTCTCCACACAGCTTTGATTAACCTAGCTTTGGATCAGACTGTTGCTTCCATGTTCCTTCTTAGAGTAAAAAATAAAAAAAAAAAATCACATAGGAAGTGAGATGGAAGCAGCAAACTCTTTTAGAGCTCTGTAAAAAATGAAGCCAAGTTAATTACTATTACACATGACTTCTTGGGTCCCAAAGCAGAAAAGAATACAGATTACAAATAGGTCTTGGTCTAATTAAAGGAATTTAACATAAGCACACTGAAGCTGGGAGAATCTTCAGTATTTCAGCATGTGGAAAGCTAAGTTTTAATTTCTGCACATATAACCCACAGATGCTAAAAGGAATCTTAATTCAAGTGTATTCTGTGCATCCTCACCTTTTGGGGAAGGTGTGCACTCAGTTCTTCCCTGAAACGCAGCAACTTTAACTTTACTGTGATTGTCCTACTGCAGAACAGCCTCAGTGTCTGAAGAGAGGCTACGAGAGAGGAGGGAGCAGAGACTGGGGATTTAGGTTTCCCAGTCCCCTAAATCCAGCTCTAGATTCAAATTCATTCATTTACCTATAAAAAGATGCTACTTATCACTTGAAGACAATTCTTTCAAGTGCCATCCGTAGCAGCTGAGGGGTCCTACTGAAGAAGAAAAAAAACATTTTCTATCTAATATTTATTAGTCTCTCCTCCTTTCTTTTTTCTTAAAATATAGACTCTAAAACAGGGAAAGGTTGGTTTCTTTGGTGGGGGTTTTTTTGGTGGTTTTTTTATTGAATTTTGTTTAGTAGGGTTTTTTTAAGAAGTCAGTTCAGTATTTTAGTCTAGGCAGTCCCTGCTTGGAATCTCCAAAGGCAGAACTAGCAAAACCAGGTAGGGATGCTGCTGTAGTTATTTGGGAATCTTGCATCTGAAAAAGAAATGTAGTCTACACATTTGCATAACTAACAATAAATGCATTTCTTACTAATTACCCAACAGAGAGAAACCTCTACAAATCCTTCCTATTTCTTATCTCCATTCAACAAAACAATCTGATTTGAAACTACTACACAGCACTCATCTTTTCACCTCCCGTGCCCTCCGTGAGGCCGCAAACGCTCCCCCTTCCAGACGGATAATGAAATATGCCGGTAGAGCTGACAGTGCAGGAACGAGCAGATGTACATAAACGGAGAGTTAATCCGCTCAGCCAGGCAGCGCAGTGACAGGAAGGACATTTAACACATTCTTTAAAATTATTGTAATCGGGTAACACAAAACATGCCAACATCCATCTTCAGTTTAACACTGAACTTTTTTGCTAAACTTTTATTTAGGTTCAGAACATGAAACAACAGGAGTATTTTATATCCCTTCACAGGGTATGCATGCAAATTTTAGAGGCACTTTTATGAAGACCAAATATCTATTGATGTAATATCACCTGTTCAAGGAAAACCTATACTCGAACAGAAAGCACCTGCTCAGTCTCCCTATTTCCTTTACTCTTTCCATCATATATTTAGAGATTCAAATCCTTCATGAATCTTCTTCAGCTACGTTTCATCATAGCTGAAGAAGCTGTGCTACTCTGAAAACCTCAGTGTTCCACAGAAGTTACTTTGCATTTGTGCGTGCCTTCGTTACCAAATCGCCCCTGGCACCCTGAGAAAAGCCATGGGTTTGCAAGCAGCTGCAAACAGGCAGCGCTCCCAAAGCAGTGAACCTTTGGGTGATTTCCAGCGCATGAAGTCCAGCTGCATTCCACTGTGAAGGTATCATCTCAGGAGCTGACAAGCCAGAGAGCCGTTAAGACAGACAGGATTCTGGTGGTATCCTTGGGGGATTATGGAAAACAGAATGTTCAATAAATGCACACTCCTTCACAAATAGAAGCCTCTCTGGAGTTCACCTGAAATCTTCTAAAAGCACTCAGGATTTTAACTGGTGAATATTCTGAATAGCTGGATAAGGCAGCTGTTTAGTTGTATATAACAAAACTTTATTAATTCTGCAGTTCTCCTGAACTCTGCAGAACAGAGAGCTAGCTCACGGGCAGCTTTGAGCATTAATAACTGAAATATGTAACCAGATCTTCATGGTCCCAGGAGGGCATGTGGAAAAGAGGGAGCCATTTGACTTTTGGTAGAGTTCAAAGCTAGCTGCATCCTATTTTTAGCAGAATATTGTCACAGTGTGCGCTTCTGAGTCTGCAAACAGAGAAATCCCCCCCTCTGCAGCCTGGTCCTCTCCTCAGGCAGCTACAAACCCTGCCGTGCCTGGCCAGACACCCAGCAGTTACCTCTCAGCTGTGCAGGAGAGGTATGGTGATACCTATACCCCCATACCTGTTGTTTTAAAGAGAGGGAGAAAACTGAAAACTCATTATGAAGTAGTACATCTATATCAATTTGGTATTCTGCATTTTAATAAAGCACTAATTTCATCATACTTCGTGGAACTTGGAATAGTTTCTTCGCTAACCCAAGAGAAAACAAATCTCCCAAGCACGACACAAGTAACAACAATTGTACTGTAGTGCACGTGAATCACGAGGCAGCTTGAGAGAACTACTCTAAAGATGAATTACATTGCAGGTTACTCCTTGTGTCAGAATATTACCTTCAAAACCCAATGTCAGCACAAGCTATCCATTTACTGGTCCCTATAGTGGATGTCATGGCCAAAATGGTGGCAATTCACAGTACAGCAAGGAGGTAAATAAAAAAAAGAGCAGAAGCCAGAAAAGCAAAAAGAGAATGGAGTTAGAGAATGAAAGAGAATGAAAGAAAAGGATAAAATACAACCACAAAGCTGAATGAACAATCCAGCCAATTCCCTATCCACCGGGTGGTCTAGCTGCTCTTCTAGAGGGCAATTCAGACATGCTAATACTCACTATTCTTTCTGGGGTAATGCATTAAAACTTTACAAGTACTAAGAGAGTCTCTTTTTATTTTTTTAAATTACATTTTAAAAAAAAAATCAGATTGTATCTACACAGTAGAAGGGGCTACAAGAAAGGACTACTGAACAGGATAAAAGTTGCCAATAAACTAAAAGCTGAGCAGTGCATAAATGCAGATGTCTATTCTCCAAAATCTTGTGTAGAATGACATACATCACAAGTTCATGTGTCCCTTTTTGGTCTAACCTCAATGGCCAGTCGAGGATTTTTCAGTAGCTGTTTGCCTTACTTCTTCGAAAAGTCAGTGTGATGAAGCAACCGACTACCCTGTTGCTGTACAGCACACAAATCAGAGCCTGAATGATTACCAAGGTATATGCAACACACATAAAAATGGACTGTCCAGTAGCTGACACTGAAAGTATAAACCTCTGAAATATTTCAGTGGCATGATAGATGATTGCCACACAGCGTCCATTAAAAAGGAAGATATTTTAGTAGCTAAATTCCATTTAACCCTCTTAATGGGTGAGAAAAGGCAGTTAAACCTTGCCATTTCAATCAGGAGGTGAAGTTATAGCTGAGGAAGATTATGATGAATAAAGTATCAGTAGAATTAAACCTAAGAACTCTGGAGCATGCCTAAGTATACACCAGCACAAGATCTTCCTTTATCTTTTTGACAGCTAAAACGTAACTGTTCTCATTATGAAAAGGTTTCTGGAGCGCTTGCTCACTCTGCATTAAAAATGCAGTTCTCCAGCAATGATTCTGACCTTTGGAAAGTGTCCCCAAAACGAGGAGGGGAGCAGCAATGTACACCGTATCTGCTTGGACTAGTACTTTGCAGTCACCACCATGGCTTCTCTGACCAGCACCATCGAGCCCGGCCTTTCAGAAGTCAGGACTGAGCCATCCCCAGCTCTGCGCAAGGTTCTACATATATGGCAAACCGCTTGGACGGCAGAGCTAAAGATTAACTTTTGGGTAAAGACTGAACAGCATGATTGCAGCACTAAGTAATTAGTATTTTTAGTACAGTAGTGAGGAGCGATTTTTTTATGCAATGTTAAGGATCTTCTGAAATGCAAGAGTTCAAGTAAAAACACAAACATTTAAACTCAACTAGCAACAAATATTTCTGTCCACTGCTGTGGCATCCATGGTAACACTGTGGGTGGGAGAATAGATCACCAAAAGCCCAGATATTTATTAATAAGCTTATTCACTTGGGCAAAGTGTGTGCTTCACGCTCAGAGTATCTGGGAGGCTGCAGAAATCAGTCCTTTGCAATTACATCCATTCGTTTAGGGGGTCTTGGCAGAATGACTATGTGAATTTGATCATTAACATGAAGTGTTCGTTAGCTTTGGCTGCTGGGGCCATTTAGGACAGTTCAATTCCAACAGCTGGAAGCTGTTACAAATCAAAAGCCCCGAAGTTTGGATAAGATATGGTGTTATAAAAATCTGTTTTATAATCTGGACAATAAGCCATCACATAGGAAACCAATAAACAATGTAACAACAACGATAATACATTTTTCACTGTCTTCCCAACTCAAACATTTACTTAGCTACCAACACCATCATACGTTAACAGTACTCCCATGAGAAAAGAAACGCACTGTTTAAGAACATGCGCTAGAACTCTGATGTGCTGCCAGTGATTTAACAAGGGACTTTCACAGAAACATTTCAGCCTCAGCTTTGATAAACACCCAGTCCCAGAAACATGTTCACATCAGTAAGATAGCTGGGGAGAGATCTATTCACTTTTCTTCCCGTCTTTATAAAAACCCCTTCCACTTAAATACTCTTTCATTTAGCTTTCTCTTTGCTTAAATATTAGCATTTTCTTCCCAGATCTTGTATCATACCTCATTCCTCAAAATTTCTTACTTAAATTAGGAATCTGAAGTTTCACAAAAGGGTTTCTTTTAAAAATAGCTGGTGTTTGGCTTAACTAGCCAACCTAGATGCAAAATAATTGTTCTACAAAACAGGCTTTAGTCTTGGGAATAAGGTTTATCTATCAAGTATTATCTAATCGCTACAGCAGAGGATGTAAATTCCATTCAAGTCAATTATTCTAAATGTTGCCTCAAATCTAGTGATAAAAGTTTAAATGGAGACTGACAGAAGTGGTCTCCCATACATCATTCTCAAACAGCCCAACTGTGGAAAGCATGGAGGGAATGAAAATTAACATTTCTTTATCCTTCCAAAACTCCTCCCTTTGCTAAGGCATCAAGGATGAACTTTTTAATTTCTTTGACAATTTGGAATTTCAATTGCATTTGCCAAAAATATATCCTGTTAAACAAATGGTTACTTGTCATTTTGAAACACGGTCTGGTTGAGCAGTAGTAGAAAGTCAAACATCTACGTAATTCCTTTACTCTCTCAGACATGGCGTATTAAAACATACAAATGGCTTCACAAATGTTTATGGGACTTAGAACATGTTTAGTCTGTATTTCCTCCTGGTTTATGCTGCAACTGTACCAGGTCCACTTCTCTTTGAATCATTCTTTCAATCAGTCAATCAAGTGGCTAGAAAACAGGTAAAAATGCTGTGGATGCAATAAAGTTTGCCCCTCCAAAGCCAGAAAGCTTTGGTTTTCATTTCCCCAGGGGTGAGGCACACACAGAGTCACAGTAACTTTACAAGACAGCGGTAACTCAGCTGTTCTCTCTGGTGTTCGAGGAGTTGAACACAAGGGCAATTTTACATTGGTGAAGCTCTTACCTCTTCTTCTTGGTGATAATGAGGACATCATTAAAGAGGAAGAAGTACACCTGCTGTTTAGAAGTTCTTTTAGAAAAAAGTCCAGTGTCTTCTACATATGCTGTTAATTCACCCCTTTTCACTAACCACCGTGAAGAGGAAACCAATGGAAATGGCTACAAGGCAAGAAAATAACATTTTAATCCTTCAAAAGTAAAGACTTTTAAAAAACAGATAATAGAGTATTATATACTTGGGAAAAAATGTTTGAATAAACTCAACGCTCAGAGATTGCAAGTACAAGCATGAAACAGAGGTTACCAAGGTTTAAGGTATCTTCATCATTCATATCATACACAAGTAATAGCCTGCAAATACTTGAAAATCACTCATGCACATGACCTAATTGCTCACCTAAGATAAAAATGAACAGACTTATTGGTCATACTTGGGATAGAACAGACTATACAAGATCTCCTAAGGAGATTAAAAATAAAAAGACTGTCTTCCAAGAATACGTAAGTTTTTTTAGAGTAAGCAATCATTCTTCAAGCACGTATGAACACTGGATTTTCCTCTAGGTACCTCACAGCTTTTCTACCTGAACAGCTGGAAAGACAAGCTTCTCGTCTCAAACATCAGAAACATGCACACTGTGTTTCATCACATCCGTAAGGCCAGTTAAAGTGATGCTGTGCCTTCTGACGGTATGTTCTGTACCATGCACAGAATTCAAAAAAGTAAATCCTTTAACAGAGAAATATACTGTACAATCCACTTTGAAACATTCTGTGAGTAGATGAGATAAACAGATGATGGAGAGAGCATACAAGATTAGATTGGTCCTAATGCAGTACTGACCATTATTATTGAGATGTTCAGAGTATGCAACCTTTTTTTTCCATGAAAAAGCAAAGTACATGAGGAATGTCAGAAGGCTTTACTAAATGTGGTAAAATCCATTTTCTACTCTATAAGTAAACTGAAGTTCCAACACAGTTCCGTGAAAGAATGTGTAAAGCAGTATGTGATACATAGGGTTTTAATTAGTCGTCCATTTTAATGCCAAAACATTGTTTGCTCATGACATCATAAATTCTCCAGTGGTTTTGAAAGACACGTCTGAAAGTTTTGAGAGGACCTCTCTTTAGGTACCCACTTACAAAAGGCCATATTAATAAATAACTGCCCTTCCTCAGGATCAACTCCAGCTTTTTTCTCCCCCCCCCCAATCTTCCATTTTGTCAGAAGAGGTGACTCATTATTTGACCACAATTGCTTTGTCACAGTTGAAGGAGACGGGAAGTCAGACTGCTTGGGCACACTGCTCTACCGAGGTGTGGGCTTGAGCTCATTAGAGCACCCTCAGCCCAGAGGTAACAACTCAGTGAGCACATGTCACTGGTTTCAGGAAAACCAGTCCAGTTTGCATAAACTTGCATCCCTCAAGTTAAGAGGGGTAGGTACAATCATTCTTCCAAGGTATTTACCATACCAAACCATTTATGTTTTTTCCCTTGATAGCAGGAAGGGAAGTTTTCCAAGTACCTGCTATTCTCTTTAGGAGCTCCTGAAATACGATACAGTTATCTGTCCACTGTCACAGCTTTATCTAAGATGGATAATTAAGGATACTATAGCTCCTTTATCTAGCTGAACTCTGTATGTTCTGTGGAGTAGGATCACCATTTCTCTCTGGGGTGAGGACCAACACCTGCAACAGCTGAAGCAAGCCAAAGAGGATCATGGCTGCCTGATATGAAGACCAGGCTTTATTAATCCAAATTATTCCCAACCATGGGAGAAACAAGACAGCAGAGAAGGACCTTTTGTTTCTCTGGGCCACAAACATGAAGGGAGACGTGTGACTGCATGTCCCGGTCATACACAGAACAGATCATCTCTGAAGCTGTACCATGGCATATGGTGCCAGAAAGACAAAGGTCCATCGCAGTGCTGGCAGCCAACCCACCGACCAGGATTCCTCAGTCCATGAGCTCACTGACTGCTGCTAGCACAGAACTGAGCAGAGCTGCCACGTGGGAATGTTTCTCCAATGGCACACAGCAGACAGGTTCTTTCTGCTAGACTGTGCTGTCACTGGGCAACTTTCTAAGTAAATTACTGACCCCTCACCACTGGAATGACCAGTTTGGGTCATAACTTTAATACCTGAAGATGCTGGTATTTTGTCTCTGCACCTTTGGGTATTGCCCACATGCTGGATGGAGCATCCGAAGATGTCTGGCACCTTCCCGTGGCTGGTACCAAAAAGGACTAGGCTCAGCAGGTGACTTCTGCAAGCCAAGCCTGACCTGCACAACCTGTACTGTACGGGTTCTCCCGCAGCAGGTACACGGTACCACTGGCAAACAAGAGGCATCCACTTTGCCCACACTTACTAACATTTGTACCTAAGACCCACCACAGTAAATGGGTGCTTGCTGCTAAGTTTTATGGATCATATATATTTTTCTTCATTCCAAGCAAAAAACCCCAAGTTTCTGTTTCTACTTTAAATGTAATTGGCTTCTGCTTATCAAACTTCCCTACTTGCTTTGCTGTTGTTCAAATTAATTACTGGTCTTGCGTGATTAGACTAATGAAGACAACTGCTTTTTTTCCCCTCAATTTAAAGCACCTTTCACATGCTTGTAGAAGATATTTCTTCATTCAGCTTGCCAGCTATCTTCTTCATTCTGCACAGGTTGTCTTTTTATATCTTTTAAATCACTTTAGCTGCTCTTTACTGAACTAATTTCAACTTGTCAATACTTGCCCATAGTATTATGCCAAAATCAAAATACAGTGGTTTATCTGTGATCTTGCTGTTGGAAGAAGATATTAACTCCCTAATTTTACATACAGCCATCCTCTTGTTTCTGTGACTCTGAAGTGGCACACAACACACAACAAAACACCTACTCCAAAGATGCTTCTCCTTAAACCATGCAGAGCACACAACTCCCTTCCCAAGCCTTCCGTTAGGAGGTAGCATACTAATCGCACGTAAAGGTTCCTCAAAATTGCAAAGTGTAGTAGCTCTCAAAATATTGCCAACTGTTACAAATTAAAGAAGCCTTAAACTTTTACCTTGCCCCAGACTGATTTATGTCCCAATGTGCCCAGAACAGGCAGTAATGGGTGCCCACCCTCACCTGGTACCTGATCACAGACGCCCACTGAACAAAACCTTTGCTATACGGTAGACCTACACTAGGGATCTTTCAAAACTTCTACTGTTTCAGAGTGACAACTGATAAATACCAACATATTTCATTTATCTGCTACAATTCCGCATATTTTTACATTCATGCTACCAAGATAATGTTAGTGTACTGAACCTTCGAGACATTCTCTTCACACATTTCTTCCCAATTAATCTAAGCTCACATATTCTGTTTTAATTTATATAATTTTTCTGCAAGGTTTCTAGTTTTTTATTAGCCATTAGTTTATTAAATGCATTTTCTACTGTATTCTCCAATTTGGAAATGCAGAATTTTGTTTCAAATCCGTATTTCATAAATAGATTTTTTTCAAAGTCTGATAGCAAATCAGACTCAATCAATCTGGTTATAAATCACTGTAATTTCAAGTTCATTAATTGATATAATCACTCAGATCAGTGGCTAACTTAGACTCCTATCGATCCAACTTTATTACTTTCTCCTAGAACTGTATCATGTATTTTTTCTTATGGATGGTCATTTTATTAAAGACTCGTCACTAAACCTCACAGGTTACGAGAGGCCAGTTTAGCTCAGTACTCAGACATCACACTCCCAGAGGAACTCCCAAGCTCCATCACTGAAATCACAGACAGTTTTATAGTGACATTCAGCTTTAAAGAATTTGGCTAACTTTCCATCAAAACTCTGCTGGTTCAGTACCTTCAAATGACACGAAAACCAGCTTTTTAAACAAATGTCTTTTACGTTTCCTGAAATGCAGTACTGGTTCCATGAGACAACACAGGAATGTGAAACATCGGACCACACCTTAACAGGGAGACCATCGGGCTTTTGTGACTACAAAATTGAAAGACTTTGGGCTAGGTGGCCTTTGAACACCTAAGTCACAAACAAGTTTGTTTCATGAACACAAAAGCGTATTTGGAAAAAAAACACAAAAAAACCAAATTCAAAACAAAAGAAAAAACAACCAAACCAAAATACACCTCACCCCCCCAAAAAAAAACCCCAAAACCCACCCACAACCATTCTGGTGCTAAAGATTAAAAATTCAAGAATATAAACTTCTGATTCTTAATTAAAAAATAAATTCTACAGAATAGTCATGTACAGAAGTGACATAATATTTGAGTAGCTTCTCTTGCTACTCTGCCATGAAATGTTCTACAGTTACATCTAACAGAATAATAAAATTAAACAGAAATCCCAAAACACCATATGAGATTGAGCAAGCACAGAAATAGTTTACCTAATTTATAATGGTTATAAAACAGAATTATAGCACCATGATGATTGTTTTATGGACAAAAAGTACTTTAAAAATTTCTATTTGAGGATGAACTAAAAATTCCTCTAATTTGTGCTCCAAGTGAGTTCATCACATTTTCCTAATTGACTATATTCCAGAGGCAGTTTTTTACTTTCCTATTAATTTTTCCTTAATTGCCAAAAGAGTACATTACGTATACCATCTCCTTTCTATATAAAAGCAGCTGTCAGAACTTAAAATGTATTGAAACTTGGCCAAAGCAGTCTTTTATACACCAGCTGGCAAGCTTTCACACCACAGATAAGGTCTAAACCACCAAGCGGTTATATTTAAGATGCACAAAGGAAAAAAACTTGCATAAAAGTTACAGAAAAATGAAATACAGAAAGTAGCTATTACTCCCATGAAACTAGTGAGAGCTGCTAGTTACAGCACGTACAGGGAAGAATTATACAGGGCTCTCATCTGCAAAATCGAGATCAATAGCATGCCTCCTCTTCCCATGGGGAACGTAAGAGACTCCAAACCATGTAAGCACTTAAACACCATTAGGCACGTCTGCAGACATGAAAGCTATGAGAGAATCAGGAAAGCAGATCGCCCAAGCACTTCTGACTATCCAAAGCTATTCTAGACCATCCAAAGCCTTGACTCTGTTATCCACCACTGTCAGCAAGTATAATGATGACACTTGTTAAGAGAGGGTTCATTTATTGTTGTTAAGTAAATATTATTATCAGTTTTTAGTCAAAGTTTGAAAATAAAAATACTTCTGACAAGTAGACAAACACCTTTTTGGAGACAGCATTTCCTCTAAGACTGATCAAGATCCTTTAAAGAACTGTGTTTTTAAAAACATGAACCTCTACTTACTTACATATACGATAATAAAAAATAAAAAAATCTTCTCACCAAAAATTACTCATTATATAATAGTATGAGACATTATTTGTAGAAGTGGTATTTTAACAAACATTGAATAGAAAAAAGCATACTCGAAGAAATATCTTGAAGGTACAATAAAACCCCTGCTAACTATGACTATGTCTGCTATTTTTTCCTACCGAAAAGACTGACTGTAGAGGGGTTTTTTTTCGTAACAGCCTACATTGTATTTGCAGCACTAGAAAGAAAAAATTTGAAATACCTCAGTATTCTAAGACTCTTTAAAATTCTTTGAGGGTTAATACCACCTGTACTAGCAAAACAAAAACTTGGCATTATTAAAGCAAAGTGCGTAGTTTAGCTTAAGTAATTTCACCTACACTGAATCCTGCTGTTGCACAGCCTGCTATTCCAGGCAGGTACCACACGACTTCGGTTGCACGTCCGATGCTGCCAAAAGTGCTATCGTAGGCAAAGTTGGGCAACTCCTCCCTGCAGGTGTGACCGATGCACCAACGCACCCAGGTACCGGGAAAAGCCTGGGGGGCTGCTGTAATTCACCCCACTGCCTCCTCGAATTCTGCAGCGTGCAGCACTCGCCAATGTTATCCTGCTCTCAGTCATCTCCCACAGAAAGGGTGACTCCTCAAACTGACAGTTTTTACAGCAGACTATCAGAATCTTGTAGAAATAGACCATAATGCCAAGAAACACATCCTAACGTGACTGGAAACAGGCCTGGGTTTTTTTATTTCATGCTGCTGTAAATCTGGATAGTCAAATACTATTAGGATCCTTCCCTGGCCTTAAAGTATTTACTCAGGCATATTTCTCCTCTCACGTACATGAGAGCATCACATCAAACAGCAGCAGTCGGCCTCTCTCCTAACGGCAAAATGTTCACAGCAACTTACTTTGTCTTTACAGCAAAGAATACTTAATTCAATACACATTAAAAAACTCATTTTGCTTTAACATAACCCTTTGACTTAAAATAAAAATACTCAACAAAAGTTTTAATTTTTATCCTGCCATAATAGACCGCTTCTTTGCAAGAATTACTGTGCAATATGAAGATGCCATTAAAGTTCCACTGTTTACTGTATCAGATACTAATTCACTCTTTAAAGAAATACACAATTTGCTGCTCAACTGAAGTTAGTTCTGAAGTTTTGCTTAGATTTCTGTGTCAATTCACATGGGAATTAGTTTCTCAGAACTTGTTTACACAGTGCCAGACAACATGCTGAAGTGAGAAACAGAACTGCTCTGCAATGCAATACCTCCCCCAAAACATTTCTTTAATTCATCCAACAAGTTCCCACTCTGCAAGAGACTTCAAGAGATTGCTGTTAACCAGGTGCACTGTTCAATGACATGGCCTGCCTCTGCTGTGGAGAACTGCAATGATTCTTGGACAAATTAGAAGCGATGCCGTGCATTCTTCTGCTTTTGTTTTATGTGAGGAGGAAAGAGAAAAAAGCAATTCAAACTCTGACAAGCCTTAAGGAAATGAATGACAGGAAGGATGGAAGAGGCAGAGCGATATGTGATTGTGTGTGACCTGCGACAATGCCATCATGCACCTTGGTATGAATTGCATAAAACCATACCATGACCGATATTACTAGGTACTGTCACTCCAACAGGGACACGTTTTCATCCACAGAGGTAAACCCAGAGTCCAGGCATACCTCATTCTTCAGTAATTAATGTTAATTTAGTCTTCTTCAAAATATATATTCTGATATTCTCTTTCCCTGAAAAGCCTCAACCTGAAACTTAGCCTACTTGGTGAGATGCAAGAGCCCTCAGGTACTCTGAGCTTCCAGGGCTTCAGCTACCCCAGACTACCAAGTTCCTTGACCAAAAAGAGTCATGCCAATATTACAGCAGAGACTAAATTTAGTTTATGCTCGCAACAAACCTATCAAAACTTAACACGTAGTCAGAACTAGTCATATGCTAAATGATGTATGGTCAGAAGTATCACCACCATACCTTGATTTTAAATTCCAGTTGGGAGTTGATTGTGTACATCATTTCTGTCCTTTCCATTTTTCGAGCACCTTCGTTGCATAAACGCACCAGCTAGAAATGAGACATTTTTTTAACAGGTTTAATGTACTCAATACCTGTAATAGAAACTTTGTTCCTCTATAAAATGCACATCTGAGGAAACATAAAATTTACAGAAGAACTGACATTTTCACACTGGGCTACAAACATAATGTTTTCAAGACCAGACTGAACGCTGCCCTGAGTGACCTGCTCTGACTTGATATGCGATTCTGCATTGGGTCTGGACTGGATGACCTCCCGAGCTCCCCCTCAACCTGAATTACCCTACGATACTATGATAATTATTTATTCTTCAGGGGAGTCCAGATGGTTCAGCCAGAAGTTCTGGCTGAGAAGGGTTGCAGCTCTCTGATCCAAGTTAACAATCAGGTCCAAAACAAAGAGCCTTCAGACTGACACACCAGCATGACAAGCTGCCATGTCCACCACGCACACCCAACTCCTTCGTAGAAGAAAGTCCCCACACAAACGTTACAGTACCATCTTGTTAAACTAAGGCAAACAGCATCCTAGGAAAAGTTTCATTGCAGCTGACCTTTAGACTGCAATTTCAGAGCATGCTGCAGTTTTACTGAAGCCTGCACACAGGGGTGGGGAGCACATAAAAACGGGGAGCAAAGATGGGAAAGGTATGAAAATGCATTCCCTTAACCCCACAACATCATGCATGGATTTCCCAACTGTCAATGGGCCTTGTCTCCTTTTATCATCAAACACTTCACATACCAATCACATACTGTTCCTACGGAAAAGCCTAATTGTGTTGGCAGCAGTACAGTATTGCTGAGTTTAAGGTATTTTCCTAAGTAATAGTCAGTAATTTAGGCATAAAAACAATCCCTAGTGGCCTTTCTTAAATAAAACAGTTTAGAGGTTTTATCCTTCAGTACTCTTCCCGTTTGCGTTATTTATGCATAGAAAACATCGTTTTTTCCTTTAAAGTAGACAAGAATGTTCAAGGCCCAAGGTAATGTCTAGCCCCAATGTACAGTTATTATTATTCTTAAGTAAAAGATGCCCAGTACTTCACATTTCACAACAGTCTATGATACATTGTAGTTTCTAAAATTCTGAGATCTTGGAGACAAAAAATAGCCAGTCTTTAGATCCATAGATTTTCTTTTCATCTCACAATATTCTGTTTTAAAGAGTTGTCTATTTCCAGAATATAAAACAGATGGATTGGAATTTCCCACCAATTAAAAAAAAAAAAGGTAATCCGATTGCTCAGGTTCAAATGGAAGGAACTGGAATTTATTATACAAGTGCATGCTGCCGAAATATACAATCAGTGCACAGAAATGGACTTGTGCTCTTCTTCCACCATTGATGCCTGGCACAAAAGCATGACTACAGGAGAAGAGAACAACTTTGAACAACTGACAGCAGGTGATCTGGTTAACTTAAAGTAAAAGTAGAAAGAAAGCTTAAGTTTGCTTAGAAGATGCAGACTTTCTTGTCTCTACTGTCAGGACAGTGTTTTGGCTTTTTTTTTTTTTTTTTAAATAGGTATGGTCCACCATATGGCTTTCTGTTAGAATGACTGGCAGAAAATTGGATAAATTTGTCCACATACACAATGAAACAGGTGAACAAAATGAGTAATGATCATGAAAATTAGTTCTCAAGGGACTAACAAAAGCAGCCACTTCTCACAGTGGATTTTTGAAATGACAAAAACATGCAGTACAATTTAGGAAGGAAAAGTCAAAGCAGAAAAAATTCTGCATCCATATTAAACTTTTAAGAACATACCTTGCTCACTTCTTTTAGAGCTTGCTTGCAGTTCTCATATTTTGGTGAATCCTTAGGAGTTTTCTGACAAATTGTCTGAAATAAAATGTCAGTTACTGCAGAGGACTAAGCAGCACAGATTGTAACAAATACAGAATTTTACATACGTATTAATTGAAATCAAAGCGGTGAAGTCACAGCTGTGGACTGGGATAAATGAGGGAACACCAGATCACTTGTTCAGAGTGCTTCATTACACTAAGGAAAGCCCTTGGAAGCTTTCTGGAGCAGAGTGATGCTTTGCACCTCTCTGCCAACCTCCATCCATGGCAACACCATGGAAGAGGCAGGCCTTATCCTTCCAGGAAAAGAAAAGTTTCTGCTGTCTTGTCTCTAACATTTGCAGACCACAGTGAAGTCCTATTGCAGCCAGAGTCAGGTTCTTCCTATTTCAAGTACCATATTAAGCTTTTCCTGAAGCTGAAACTGCAGTAGGTTGTACATAAACAAAGAATACTGTACCAGATTACTCTGTCCGACCTGTTTGTGGAAGGTAAGTATTTCCAAAGGAGTAACAGAAAAGGGTCTTAAGGCTACACTGTGATGTATGCCATGGAAAAATATACCTAACAGTATTATTTTATCAAAACAAAAAAAAAGCACATGCAAGGCAGCTGCAGCATCCAAACAAGGGAAGTGCTGAAAGCAACGAGAAGTAAATCTGTGACTTATGCATAACAGTTATATCTGTTGTCAGAATTTATTCTCATGAATTAGAGGTAAAGACAAAGTCCTATCAGAAACACATTTTGAATCAATGACCAACCAGTTAAATCACCTTTTTGACTGAGAAACAAAAACATCGTAAAATGTTTTACACTAAATTAGTCTTTGGTTTAATTATGCTCCCTCCTCTTTGAATGTAGTTGGAGCTGTATTTCTGAAACTGAAACCTTAAAAACTGAATTCACTCTGAAGTCTCACTATAAGGTTTACACAACCATCTCCAAGAAAAACAAACAAGCAAAACTGAAACAGTGAAAAATAAAATGCTTGGTTTGCTTCTTTAGATTCTTTTAGGCAAAGAAGGGGAAGGAGGTGAAGAAACAAAAAAATAAGGGGAAGGCACACCTAGTGACACAAAGTAATACTGGATTATTTTTTTTAACCTAGAAATGTACTGCAGAGAAGAAGGTATTCAATATCCATGAATGGTCCAGATGATCAATCAAATTAATCAGTGCAAAATTTGTGAATATATAGCAGAACAAAATTATTAGTCCTGTTTCTGGATCCTACTAATGCTAGAATCTGAGCCTGGACTTTAATCTGCACTATTGCTCGTGGGCCAGCTCATAAATTTATTTCTAGCATCTTAACTGAAATATCATGAATCTTGGTGTGAACTGTGTTTCACAAATACTCACTTGCACTTCATCACACCTCCTAAGTCTCCTGGTGACCTGCACAGGAAGGGAACATCTCACCGTGTAACATGCTGGTGGGAAACAGAGTGCATCACTACTGCTCCACTCACGAGCAGCTCCCGTGCCCTTGAGAACAGAGTTTATTCTTCAGAGTTACGCTGTGACCATCTTAACTAAGGGTCTTAACAACCCTGTTCCTCAAAGTAAGTATTTACTGCAAAAAGGACCCTCATCTGATCTGTACGATAGGAAATCTTGTTTTTTCAACTGTAGGGTTTAATTTTAATACTAACACTATATACAATTTCTGTCTTAGGTTCCTCCTTCATTTCAGAATAATTTTGACCCTTTATTGTACAATTTTTCTATTAGAATTCCTAAATATTTCATTTTTGAATGGCAGGTCAGGAGCAGGGGGTACCAGTCACAGCAAGCAAACAAACTGTACAGTACACTTCATAATCAATAGACCAGTATTACAGCCCTTGACCTGGTATAAGTAAGAAGATATGAAGAGATTGGAATGAACCAGGAATTGAATATGACAGAATGCTAACATTAAAAGAACACGCATCAAGGAAAAATCAAAAAATAAATGTGTTCTCACATCCATCAGTAAGGGAAGACGAGTGACTCTCTGCATGGGAAGAATTAGGAAAGAGATCATTGGTAAATTCCGGCAATCTTCATGGGACTCAATCCGTGATAACACCTCTTTAAATGCTGGATTTGTGGCTCTGGTGGGAAAAAGGGGGAGAGAATTAAACAGTATGTTTTACCAAAGAATTGTGAAAGTTGATAGATTTTAAATATATCATGATTTTATTAATAGGAAAGTGTGGTTTGAAGGAGTCATATCAACTAAGGCTTCAGCTTTATTTACTTAGATATGCAAGACCGGTAGTGACATTTAGAACCCTCAAGTTCTCCCATACAGGAACCTGAGTGCAACCACACTCATACGTAACACAAAGTCTGTCTTTGACATTGACTAACCTGTACTCGTCAGTGGAAAGGGAATGTAACTCATGAGCGCAAACAGGACCGGACTATGCAGCCAGACATATTTTCACTCTTAATTACTTCAAAGGAACTCGTACATTAAGGAAAGTTAAGCATGTAAGTACATGCTTAGTCGGAAGCCATAGGTTTTGCACCAAATACCGCAGCCTACTACTCACTCCTACTACAAAGGGGGTGATTTTGCAATTGTATTTAAAAATAGTTCTTACAGTAATTTCTGTAGTGTTCGCTGCTGATAGACTTCATTAGTGCAGTATTTTACATACGGATCAAATGTTGAAGAAGTATGCTTTTCAACTATATCACTAATATCATCAATAAAGATGTTGTTCTGATGTCTGTCTTCAAGTTCTTTAAAGAACCTGTGAAAAAAGAAAATAAATTACTCATTTTTAAAAAAAAAAAATAGCAGATTTTCTCTCGCAACACTGTACACTTCACCTGACACAACCTGCAACTTTTATAACCTAATGACAACTTCAATGATTTGTGAAAGGGTGAGATAATCACTCCTTTGGCAGAACAGCAAGGGAAATCTTTACACGATACAAGTCAAAGGGTGGCGGTGTCACCTGGCAGAGCTCAGCATAAACAACGCTGGCAGAGTTACTTCTCATTCTCCAGCTGCCAAAACTGAAACGGCAGCACTGATCCGGCTGGACTAGAATTTCCAGAAACAGGGTTGAAAAAAAGAAACGAAACTTCAAGCACAACATTAACACATTTCCTCTTGTAATAAAGGAAGTACAATACTGAGATGTTCAATTAAATAAAGTTACACGTGAACTGCTAAACTAAGAACAAAAAAAATATATAGCAGGCTGAGCTGGGCAAGGTGCTCATGCACCATATACTTCAATCTACCAATGAAACCAAACACAGATGGGAAACAGTGAAAATGGGAACAGAAACCAAAATCCTGAGCTGACTTTTCCCCCCTAACCATTGTTGTTCTAAGAACTTCCCTACTGTTCCTCCCCTGTTCCATATCGAATTGCCTTTGGCCTCTGAAAGCTTTCCACTCCTCCTTGCACTTCTGATTTTACCAGAAAACAAAAGCCTTTAATTCTGCAGTGCTCATTAGAAATATTTTACTGTTCGGGGTATAATGGCTCACATAGATCAGCATTAGATCTATTGCAGGTCATTAGAATTACCTACCCTGACGCTATGACATCACTGCAATCTTTAAAAATCTGGAAGCTGCTGAAAAATCTCTCTGATACTAGTCTTGTGTGCAGCCTTTATACAAGATGATTCACTAGAAGAATCCTAGAGTAAACCTACAGTAAACTCTCTAGAGTAAATCAGCTAATAAAAAATTCTCATATAGCAGAGAAAAATCAAGGAAATACTTGGAACACATGATCTCACATCAAGCTAAAATATTTTGAAACATGTTTTATTTTGGCCCTTTATTACATTTTCTCATTATTAACACTGGCTCGTCAATATCTGTCACCTTGCAGCATTTCTTCTTTTTTTCAGTGTGCCACCAACATTCTCGTTTAGAAACAGACCTCAAACACGTAAGAAGAGGAGAAAAGGATGAACAGAACCTTATTGCACAAGCGTTTAACAACATGGATTAAGTAAAGTTAAGACACTTTTTCAGGTGTGCTTAGAAGAAGCTGCCCGAATTGAGTGGTTTCAGATTCGCACTCAGTCAATCACACAGTCAGAAGAATCAAGTGGGGTTTTGGTTTTGGATTTTTTGTTTGGTTGTGTCTTTTAACATTCTGACTCATTAAATGCAGATTGAACTGACTGATGTTTATCAGCATTGTCATTTAATGAAAAACAGGACGCTGCCTATAAATAGATACCAGGCTGTCTACTACTGTGCAGAGCTTTCTCCTCACTCTTCCCCTTTAAGTGGTGCAGCAGTATGTTTTACTACTTTTGGAAGGTAGAGTCCTCCAGCATCCTTCTATCCTCCACCCATCTTATTTCAAAGCACAAGTTGTTGCTGACTTGTATTACGCTACGTATTTGGTTTTTTAGTACCAAGAACAGTACAAACTGGCAAAGCGTACTAAGCTGCAATGAGCTCCCATACAATACACAGACAAACACTAAAGTCAAAAGTTGCTGGAAATTTCACTGGGGTCCAAGAAGGGGAAAAGGAAAGAAAAAGAAGAGTCTCCAAGTCACATAGCCTACAATTTCTCATGAACCACAACAGATTTCAACTGCTGACCACCATGAACTGCAGATGACTGGAATTTGTTTCTACTCTACTCAGACATGTTTACAGTTAGGAGAACTTTTCAGCGCCTGCCAATTTACTTTGCTCAGGAAATTAGGAAATACAACATCTCTTCCTGCTGTATGTTATGGCACGCTGACAAGGTGTTTGACTATGCTGGGCTAGAACTTCCACTTTTAGAATTTATCTGGTGCTTCATCAATGACATCACCAGTCACAGCCTTTGTAAGGAACAGTAAAGATCTTGGATAGTAGAATATTTAAAAAGAAAAAGGAAAAAAAGAAAAGAGAGGGGTAGAGAGAAGCAGCGTGCCCAGGTCCCCCACCACACATACTGTAAGAAATATTACCTGTGGAAATCATGCATCGAAGTTTGAATCAAAGGTTGTCTTTTTCTGCAGCTAATCTGCTAATTACTATATACAATCAGTGAACCAGGTATGTTAAAAAAAAAAAACCCTTTTACTTAAAATTTTAGGACAGATTCTGTCATAAAGATTGGTACTGAGTGATCAAGTGATTATATTCAATTTAACCAACTACGAATTAGTTGCTCTGCATGACTGGCTTTTTTTTGCTTAATACCAGAAGGATTTATTTAAAGCATTTGTTTCTGTTAAATCCAGAACTTTTCTGGTCAAAGTTAGATCCAATTAAGTGAAAGTCAAACAGCATTTGATTTCCCTCATCTTGCCCTTATGTTGTTTAAAGGAAACATCCAATTTGTAATACTCTCAAACTCCCCCTCCCCTAGAGGCAACAAGCCAACTTGAGAAATACAGGTTTAATTCATTTCCCGCTTGCTTCTTTTTTATAGCCCAAGAGCCAGAAATGCTAGTGATCTCACCAGCACTGGAGTTGGCCTTGTCTTTATGACGAGAGTTTCCTCCTTACAGTTTTGGTGGCTCCTGTTAGGGTCTTCCCATGTCTTTAGGCAGCTGATTAACAAGCTGGTAATCACCATCAGGAACAAGCTCCTGATACGTGCTCAGGCAATTTTCTTAAGCTATTTTTTCCTACTCTTTGGCACTGCTTTAATCAATGACTGATATCCACAACTTTCTCAAAACCTCTACTTAATTCAGCTGTATAGACACAAGTGTACAATGTTATGAACTATTCCGTACAGTTCACCTTTATAAGGCCTAAACTATGTTCCATCTACAACTGCAAACCTCCCATCAACAGAGTTTGACTTAAACTGATGCCATGAATCATTCTGGTCAACATTTCTTCTCAACATTTACTCTCCCATCACCCCTAGATGAAGATCTTAACTGAGCAGGAGTTACATTCTTATGAATACTGTATCTTGCTATCTGGATATTCCAAAATCAGACTGTGTTGATTAAAAAAATTCTAATTAGGCAGATAAAAGAGATTTTAACTACACAGGTCAAATTAGATTTAGAAAAAAATTATCTTACGGAATCAGTTATTATCCGGGAGCAAAAAGCACATAGAATCAAACAACAGCACATAAAAGGAATATACAGAAAGGTCAGAGGCACTGCAAAAAATCTAAATAGATTATTTATATCAAGGGTCACTGTAGAAGAAAACCGATACCAAATTCTTTCTGGCAAGTGAGACTGGGAAAGAGCAGACTTGGTGGAAGATCTGTCTGAAACTGCAGTAAATGTGGAATACCAGAAGTCCCCAGAATCAGGTGATCAGCACCCAAGAGAGCCAAGAGGGGAAAAAAATTCTCATAAAGGTACTATGACATCGTTTTATTCTGTCTGCAAAATGACAGAATACACATAAATAGCATTACCAGGCTGGTGAGAGGGACAGATGCTATAATATCATTACAGTTTTATATACAGGTTACACAGCAGTCAGAATCAAGGTTCTCAAACATTTATCTGACTCTTTTCCTACTGCTTATGATATTGATTTTTTATCTCCTTACAGGTTCATGTAGTTCTCCATTGCTAACCATTCCGGACAGTGCTATTGCTCCTCTCTGCCAGATGCCACAGTCACTGAAAACGTCGGTCCGTCACCATCAAAGCCATTCTGTATGTGGAAGTGAACTGCCTTCTGGCTTGTAGATCACTGATTTCAAGTTCGTTATTATTATTCTTGCTTAATGTTTTTGAAGTTATAATGACTTATATGTCTGGCATAAATAAGGTTATAATACAGATTTAGCTTCATAGTGCTGTTGCTGCTGATTGGCCTCTCCAAATCTGAACTGGAGGAGAAGGGATTTAAAATAGTAAAAATAGGAAAAATTACAGCCTTATTTTTATGTGAATTAGAGCTTTTAGCAAAAGAATGGCTGGAAGAGGGTGATGACACTGAGGGACTGCATCCACAGGCATTGGAAATTAATACCTTTGTTACAGGAGTTACCACAACCTAAACAATGGAAAACAATACATTTGTACACATAGATTTATAATGCCAAATGCTGCAAAACTAATAGCCCATAAAAATACTTTTATTAGGCAATATCCACTGCGCAACTACAAAGCCAAATAAGGGGAAAAAAAAACAAAAAGAAAAAAAGACCTTGACAGTGTATTCCTTTGTTCTGCAATAAACTGGAACAACATTCAGCAAGCCTACCCACAAGTAGCTGTACTAATGGCAAGGCACTTGCCTTTTCACCTATTTATAGTATACTGGCAGAAATCCAGAACAATAAAAAGGCCATGGCAACCCTGTCAATATATTCTGTTACAGCAAGATTCTTGAGATAGCACGTAAAGTGCTCGTAGCATCTACCTCAATGGTATGCATTTCAGAAAAACAAATCTTGATTCAACCAATTAATACCCACTGACAAATGAACCCACAAAGAACACTCTGTGGCACTAGAAATGTAAATCTTTTTGATAAATTATGAAGACATCACAACAGGAGTCTTCATTTTAAAAGACCTTTCCCATGCTGAACAAAGTAATGCTTTTTATACAACCAAGAAAAAGCAGAGTGCTTCTGCCTGTCTCCCCGAGTCTGAAAAGTTATCTACATGCTCACTTGTCACAGAACAAAGTGAAGTCTTGCAAGTCACAAACAATGAATTTATAAATCATTCTGTGAAACTTTCTAACAGGGATGAGGCTATTCCCATGTAACACACTTACTAGAACAGCCAAACAGAGCAAGCAAAGGCCTTGGAGAACGGAGGAGAACTTGTTG